AGAATTTCATCTGGCTTTCATTTCATGAAATAGAATGAATAGAACACACTTCTTTTAAAAAGACTATGGAATCTATGGAATTCATTTTGCAATACCTTACAATGAAGTTTGTAAAATAATTATGTTGTTATCTTTGTAAGAGATGTTATAACAGAATGCTAGAATGAAAGAACTGTCAATATTTACAAAATAGCTAGACTGGCAATGCCAAATGATTTTAAACAAAAGAAGCATTTTGCAAAAATCATTTATTTATATTATTTATTTTCTTAAAAGTAATTATGAAACTAAAATGTATAATTGGTTACATTTTCTCCCATAGTTGTCCAAAAAAGAAACCCTAATTATAGTTAAGCATTCAAATGGAAGTGGCCTATTTTATTCCAGAGAGCCAAATATCCATAAATACTACTTAAATCAAGTCTACTAAGTCTGCTCATCATCTTTTGCGTGTCATTTCGATGTCAAAGCAATCACTGGCTGTTACCTTTAGGGACCCAGATTTGAAATGACTGATCCGTTTAGCATGCTGGCCTTCTGTGCCACGCACTGTGAGGTCCTCTGGTTGCCACAGAATAAAACAAATACATCATGCCCCAGGTCTGCCAGCTCTTCTCTAGTACGAGGCATTGCGAGCTATGCTGCTGCTGTTATTTTCCAAGGATGTGTTGTGTCACTGGCATATCTCTGCAGAGCCAGGCGGGCATGTTAAATCAGAGTAGTGGGTTATGGCTGCGTACATCGGTACCAAAGAAGAGCATGAAAAATCTGTCTCCAAAATGTCTTCAGTTTGCTGAAAGCCTGGATGCTGCTCTACCAGGTGACAGTAGCTGAAATCTGATATGAGCCACCCACAAAGCATTTCAATCCTAAGAATGACTGACACACACACAAAAAAATGAGGCCATCTATACCGTATCTACCTTTAGAGGACCTTTAGACCTCTGTTTGCACTGCCAGAAAAGATGGGAGCTTTCATAGTAGCTGCTAACTTAATCAAAGCAAGAAAATCTCTTTTCAATATGACATTGAATATCCAGCAGCTGAGAGCTAGTTTTGCTCTGTAACAAACACTATTAGTATCTGTGATTCCAGAGCAAACAGTATCATTTATAACAATTTTGTTCAGCAGATTTTGGCTTTTTGTTCTAATCAAGAGTCATCTGTGAACAGACTGTGTTCTTTCTCAAATGTGTGTGTTTGTTCAAAATTTACCAACTGGTTAGGTTTTGATCAGAGTTCTAGACGAAAATGTTTTTACAGTTCTTTCCTCCCCATAATCCTTTCTGCTCTAACCTCTCTGAGGACTGCAAACAAATAATCCTTTGTTGTTAAACTCTTATTGAACGTTACCATATAATTTTCCTATCTTTACCTTATTTGTTATAGTTTAGCTGACTTCTAGGCATAACTTTAATAATGTAGTCTCTTCTTAATTGCAGTTTGCCAAGTCTAATATGTACAAGTATCCATTCTGCTCTCCAGAACACAGGCAACTTCATACCTACTTTATAGCAAAGGTACTGGGTTCTGTTCATGGTTGCTTTATATTCAGTTCCTTGTAAGCATCTATTTGAAGATAATATTGCTTAGATTTGAGGTATGTTATGGTCAACTGTGGTCACACTGTGTTGCATGAAATTTTGATCTTATCTTTCTCCCTCTACCTAGGTATTATTTTTAGTACAGTTAGAAGCATCTTCTGGTTCTGGCCACTAAGGTTTTTTATTTAATTAATTAATTATTTAAGTAGTCCATGTAGTCCATGTGTGTATATATAGAAACAAAGAATGCAAAAAAAAAGGAACCAGGGTATCCATAACAGGCAGATTTGTATTGCATCCCTCCCTCATCTCCCCCAAAAAAGAAAAAAAGTTAGGATGAAATTTAGGACAGCTGAATTCTTCAAGGTCATTCAAACAGTTAATGGCCTAATTAGAGATTAATTGGCTTGCAAATTTTCTTTGCTTAGTGAAAACTAATGTCCCTAAAAATAAGAAACTTAACAAAATACCTCATACTTTTTTATTTTTAATATTAATTCACCCAGTAGTTCAGATTAGCCTCTGTAGCTCAATGATTTTTTTTTCCATGGATGAGAGGGAAACAAAAAATGAAGACGTCTGGCAATCCAGAGTTCTACTTTGCCTTTTTTTTTTTTTTGGTATCTTTAAAAGGCATATAGTTGTTACATTTGTCAAAAAGCTGTTCTGTGAAAACTTAAGTGAACATAGATTGCCTCTGTTTATCTCTGGCTAAACATAATTGCATCATTGCAATTGTTTAAAAAATCAGTTTGTTACTTGATTGTCATAAGTGAATTTTAAAAGCACTAATACATGAAGTATATCAATAATTTATAATGGTGAAAATGAAGCAAAATAGATTTTGCCGGGAGGAAGTTAAGTTTAGGTAAGCCACGTGACTTCTCTGTTGGATGTACTGGGAAATATTTTACTTTTACATAGGGAAATTTATGTTACCGATCTGCGAATTGTTTATTGCCATAATGAGGCTTTATATATTAGTTTCAATTAGAATAACATTATTTCTATAAGTGAAACAAGGCAGTCACCTTTCCAGCATGTAACTATGTGCTCGTAGCCTCAATGTAAGCTAGATATTTACTCCTAACTAGTCAAAAACAAATCCTCCCCCAGTAAAATATTTATTTTCTTTGGTGGCATGCATATTATATTTAAATATGAACAACCAAATTTATACTTTTCTGACTTAATACATAATTGAGGAAAATGGCCTCTTTTTTGAAACACTGGCAAATTCTGTTACATTTAGGCTTCTATCTCTGGCAGCCGTAAGAATATTTGCCTCAGGAAAAGGATATGGATGCTTTGCCTCCTGCAAGAGTCATCAATACTGAAATGTTTACATTTTTAAAAAAAATAATTAATTGAAAAATTAAAGAGGTATCTGGGATAAACTGGCAGGAAGAAAATCGTTCACATTGAGTGCTGTGACTTACCAGACATTTTGTGACCTTTTTAGCTATTTGCTTCCTAGAAGTTTCATAGACAGGAGAGAACTGCTGTGCCAAGCCCAGGAACTTTCCACCTCTCTCAGTGGAAATGAGGAACACATTCATTGATAAATTCATAGTGTGTTAGTTCTAAGAGGCTAATCAGACAAATCACGCCCAAATCAGACAAAACACACCTAAAGGTAATATATTCAGACCCTACATTAACATCTTGATCCAACTAACGCCTAGACTAGTCCACATACACTGTATGCAGTACATTGTGTGCATTTTGTTTCCCGGGTATTTCTGACCGTGGACCTGAATGGTTCCAGTTTCATGTGGACTGCTATGAAGGGTAGGGAACCTTCTACTACAAGGGAAGTGGCAAGTGTGTAGTCCTTGGGAAGCATTTCTCTGCAGTTTGGTGGTGCTGATGCTGGTGTTGGTGTTGGTGAAGGTAAGGTAGGGTGAACAGCAGACGAGCTAGTTCAGTCAAATCATGAGATTTTCACAAGGCTTTTTTCTTCACCATCAGAACTGTTTGCTATGCTTAAATTGTATGGAAAAGAGCTGTTGCAGCAAAACTTTCTTGCCCAGCTGCCACCAATGACACGTGTCTGGTGTTCTGGGCCAGGAAGACCCAGAAAGAAATCTAGACTTTGTCCAGCAGATTTATGCTGTCCTAATGAATCCAGAGATGACATTTCTGAGTTTTAGGGCAAGCAAGCTGAAAATAACTACAAGATCAAAATGTTTTCCGAGGATAAATTTGAGGATCACCTTCATTGCCCAGTTTGAAAGCTATTACATATCTACATTACGACAAAGAGCTATTTTTTTTTTAAACCTGAAAGTTGTAGTGAACCTGTACATTTGCCTCTTTTCTTCATATTAAAGTGACAACTACCTTTCTCAACCCAGATTTTAAAAGTGCCAGTTAGCACCTAGTCTCTCACACATCCTACTTTTCTAGTACAGACAAGGTGTTACTTAGACAAAGTAAGAGAGACTGGATGGCAAATGCCTGAGAAGCGCTGAGTGATGTGGGAGGTCTACAGATAAAAGCATATTGCAGCTTTGAGCATATTGAGATAGAATGACTCAGGGGGGTAGAAAGAAAATAGAGAGGTTTCTTAATTCTGGCTTGCCCAGGAACTGTGTGGTTAGGTCCTCTGTGACTAGGGGTCGTTGCTGACAGCATTCAGCAGCTCATGATGGCAAACAGGGGAATAGCCCAGTCCCCCTGGGGTTTTGACTTAAAATGCAACCACAAATAGCACCCTTTGGCTACACCTGAATGTCAGATCAGAGTCAAAAGCTACTCCTGGGAAAAGCTTTTCGCTACCACCTTGCTTCTGTTCGACAGCCAGGGACTTCAGTATGTGTTAATACAGAATCTTTTAAGCTGCAGTTATATAAAAATCTTTTAGTGTTACAACTTTTATTTAACTTTCTGCAGCAATTCCAAATTGGCATATATGCTGCTACTTTTTCCTAGAGTGATCAGTTCTGATAACCTGGTGGGTGGCACTGTTTGCTTATTAACAGTGAGAGAGAATATGTTATCTTGGCCCTCAAAAATCTGAGATTTCAAAAAACAAACCCTTGAAATATGACAAAAAGTCAAAATTTATGTCAAATTACCTTTAAGGAACTGTTGTAGATGGAACGTTTTGTTCTGATGTTCAGATGTTTAATTCTTTTTAACATAAATGCTTTTGTGAAGCATTTCATATTGTGAAATCACAAACAAAAATTCTCCAAAGAGCAAATGAAAGCTGACAATTTGTTGAAACTGGTGCTTTATTTTAAGCCAATTTGAAGAATTATAGATTTCTGACAAAAACTGTTTTATTTAAAATTCATTGTTAGTCCCTTCTGTATGCTTCTCAAACTTTATATAAGAATTTAAAAAACCGACTTTTTAATTTCTCACTGCTGCTTTGTATTTTCACGTTATGATTTCATCTTTGTTTATAACTCTTTTTTTTTTCCCCTTCTTTTTTTCTCATTATTGTAGGCAACGAAAGCCTAGAAGAAAACTATGTGCAGGACAGTAAAATGGGATTTGTTATCAATGCTATATATGCCATGGCTCATGGCCTCCAAAACATGCATCATTCCCTTTGCCCTGGGCATGTTGGGCTGTGTGATGCTATGAAGCCAATTGATGGCAGCAAACTATTGGAATTCCTCCTCAAGTCCTCCTTCATTGGTGTTTCTGGAGAAGAAGTTTGGTTTGATGAAAAGGGAGATGCCCCTGGAAGGTAACGAGATGTTTCATCCCTGCTATTTGCACCAGCTGTTGAGGAGGGAAGGAGGCAGTTTGTCGCTTTTGGCAATGGAGATTTCTTTGTCTGTTTTGCTGAAGCAGGCAGCACGTATACTGTGAAACAGAAATCAAGTTTTCTGGGTTAGTCTTACTAGTAGGCAGGCATAACACTGGTAACACATGATAAATTGATAGCTACAGCTTGTACTGGCGTTGGGGTTACGGTGCAACGTGAAACATCTCAAGTGTTTCCAGAGAGACCTTGTATCTTGCAGAGTTTTGGCATATGAGCTACCACTGGGGCTCAGAACCAGGGTTCCAGCATGAGCAAAGCTTAATACAAGTGCATGGAATTTAATGAAGCATTTGCTGGCTAAGGTTTTGAAGGTAGGGCTGCAGAGCACATCCTTTTCCAACTGTATCTCAGCTGCTCCAAGAACCCCTGGGACTTAGCACAGCATCCCTGCCAGAAACAGTTTAGCTCTGCTTGCTGAATGCCGGTACACATTCCTTCACTTACCTCTCTCCAGATAAGCCCAGCTGTGCCAGAATCTAAAGGCAAGTCTGAGTAAAGCTGGACATGCAATTTTATTTGCCAGAAGGTAGTATGTTTTGCTCATTTTGTGTCCAGTAAATTGAAGCATTGGGAACTGCTACTGTCCCTCCTTCTCTAGTAGACACAGTATGAACCCAAGAGGTAGGAGAGAGAGCAATTTCGTGGACTCCCACGTCACCTGTGTTTCAGTTAAGAGAGTCAGACAACAGAAATCATTTCCCCTTTGTTTAGTAATGGTAGCTTTGTCCAACTATTTTAACCGAGATACCCCACAGACACATTTATTTTTGAGTGTTTGTTTTTAATAAATTTAATTCAACTGCTGAAGCACACAATCCTTTATTAATTGATCCTTACTCAGGAGTTACCCCATTTAATCTGTTTTTATTTCTAAGCTATTAAAGCATTACTAGAGACTCTCTCACTCCATCTTTGGGCATATTGAATAAATGCATCTGAGTGACAACACTGCATAAGGAGAGTGCTCTGGAGTAAACAGGATTCTGCAGACTAGCACATGTCTTCAAAGAATAGTTCTATTGCTAACCCTTGCTATTAAAAATTACTACTTTTGTACCATTTGCTCTTTGCATTGCTTGTTATATTTGAGCAGTATGTGTATTCAAACAGCTTCTTACAATGAAATATTAGAGGAAAAATGGTCATTTTGATCTTGTTTCTCACTGAGTGCTGCTTATTTTGTATTCGTATATATAGAAATATAACTGGGAAATTACTGCTTATTGTAGCTGTAACTTTATTACATACAATTTCTCTCTGTAACATTACACCAGCTTTCTGTATGGTGCATTGTCTGCCTGTTAGCTAGTTGATTTGATATTTAGGTGTATTTTTTCAGTTTTTGCGGACAACTTGTTTATTACCTTATTATGTGAGAATATTTATGCAACTGTGAAAAGATAGGAAAGTTTATATCAGGATATTTTTCTGAGTAGGTCAGGATGATAGATCTTATTCCTTCCATTACTTTGGTCTATAGCAAGGTTCATTTCTTTTCCTTCTCTGGCCTATTTAGAATTTTAGGTAGGGTTTCTTCTGTTTCTCTTTTACATTATCACACCTGGAGCTAGCGTGTTTGGACAAGAAAGTTCCTTCTTATCCATACCTTAATCTTTGTATTGTCTGTGGCACCTATGACATGGGCAATAGCACATCAGTGAGTGGTGGCATATGCATCAGCAATGAACTATCAGTTGTACAGCTGCTAAAAACTTCAGAAGCCAGCAGTAATTTATGTCTATGCAAAACTATAGTTAGGGGTACATGACTTCAGACTTGTACCAGTGTTTTCACAGACTCAGAGAGGAGCCCTTTTTGTGGCTGGGTGAATGTACTGTCCTGCTGCATCACTACCCAAAAACTATTTTTATACTTTAATGAAACAAAAAGCTAAACATCACATACAACACTAAAATAAAACAAGAAGTACCTGGTATGGAATTGTTCAGTATTCCATCTTTTCTATCTCAGTGAAAGAATGACAAACCAATATGTAAACTTTTCAAAATTATGCTGCTATATTGTCTAAGCAAATCAACTTAAAAGATAGAATAAAGAAATGTTCCTACTTAGAAGACATAAAACTTTAACATACTTTATGATCAAAATCTTTGATGATCTTTGAGCAAGAGAAGCTTTTAAGTTCCTAGTTACACTTGAAAGGGATAGAGCAGATGGAGATGCCGGTAGTGTTTGCCTGACGTTCATATCATTCTCTGTCTTAAATTCCTTACAGCTTTGTCAAACCTTGTTTTGATAATTCTTTTTTACTATTTCAGATTCAATTCATGGTAGCAAAGCTTTGTCAAAATAATATTAAAAACTTGAGGCAGCTTTTTCCAGGGCCTATTTCTTTTGTTATGAATCTCTTCTTTGAAGAGGTTTAATTCAAAAATGTAAAACAGAACTTTGTTAGAACAGCACAAAATATAGTCACTTAACTGTCTGCACTGTCTCCAGCACAAGTGACTTGAATTTGGCTTTTGAAAATCAACAGCTGTATGTGCTCACTACAGCATCATTAAGAACAATCTGGTAAAAATCCTGAACTTTTCTGCTTTCATTGAATACATCCCATTTGCTTTCTCCATTGTAATCATTTCACTTAAATTCCTAGATATGGTTAGAGAGGGACGCAGTGTTCCACCCCAATTCTTTCTTTTGTCCTATGAAAGATGCATCCATGTATTTTAGATCTTTGTATTTTAGGAGAACATTTCAAACTATTATCTTTTCTAGGGTAATCGTCTGCTTTTAGCTTGAGGCAAGCAAGAAGAAGCTAAGCCCTCCTGGACAGACAGTTTGCACAGTACTCTAATCATAAAAAATTAATGTGACAACTGTCGGGTGAACTCTGAACCCTTACACAAGACACATCTTCTGTGCTACGTAATGCTGATGTTCGCAGGTTAACAGAGACTAGGGACCCCTTGGTCCTAACGAGATTCGGAGGCAGACCTATATAGCAATACCCAATTCAAAAGCTTCAGTAACTTTTTTTAGGATACATACATGGCAACTCTATCAACTCCAATGCTTTGAGAAAATTATCAAACATATAACACAAAGACTTAAAATTTATGTAGTATATAAAGGAAAGTTTGGCTGTTTGGGAGCTTGGCTCCATAGGTGATAGTTGGGGCCATGATCCTCATTTGTCTCCATGGTCCTCATTTTCTTAGTGCTTCACAACTCTTTTGAAACCTACTTCTCTTGGGATGGCCATTTTTGGCTTGGATGGCGCTGTGGAAAACTGTTGGGGATATAACATGTGTGCGATATGGTATAGGGAGAGATATCCCAGCAGTGGTCTATAACTCTTTCTTACTCAAGGCAGAAATATTTCACTAAGGAAAAGGAGAGGATGAAGAACATGGGTCCATTTCCATACACCAATTGTATCTGCTGGATCACATTTCCTTTTACTTAAAATTCAAGTTGAATCTCAAAGCTGCATACATCTTACCACAACTTTGCAAAACTGTGTGTGAGCTCTTAGTCTGGGTACTTCACTTATTGACAGCTGATAGAGAAGGGGCAGTATTACAAGAAAACATAAGATTGGCTTTCAATTTAAAATCGTATCTCTGCATTAATCTATTCTGTGTCTAGTAATAGGTTTTTGCAAAAATGAAAACAATCTGTGCAGGCTGAAAAATTCCATTAGGGAATGTGAGCTTTTAGTAATCTTTTATACTTCTTCCTGAATTCATTTTCCAGCTCAAAGAAACTGATTGCATATCAGTCTAATTCAAGGGCACACTAAAAACCAAGTT